TTCTCACACCTGTTGTTGTCGCTGTGCAGAGATGAGGATCGGGCTGAATGAGGAGTTCAGTATAGGAAGGTCTCAGCTGAGAGGTAGGATTGAATGCCCATGAAACGCTGAACTGTTTCTGAACTCGATCAGACTTTCATTCATTCATTCATTCATTCATTCATTCATTCAGATTTTCTTTCTCTCTATGTCAGGTTATGGAACAGCTGTGAGGGTTGATGAGTGTAGTTTCCACCAGGCCGTAAAGCTTGATGAATTTGATACCTACAGGATTTTGAAAGTTTGCCCCAGCCAAGGAGAGGTAAGTATCAACGTAGTAGTGTTCATAAGCCCCGTTTGTATTATATATGTTGTCGCTGTCGTGACCAAACCTCCAAATCTCCAAAATAAAAAAGAAATTAAGTGGAAATTAACTGAACATGATTTTTTTCCCCAAGTAATTCTGGATCATTTTAATGAGTTAATTCATAAAATATTAACTAAAAGCTGTTCTCAGAACAAAACGTTGTATCTCGTTTTTCAGTTTTTGACATAATTTGAATATGGGTTTTGCTCTTTACTTTGTAAATTTCAGGATTAAGGAAACGGCCCAAAATAACTTGAGGAAAAAAGTCTGGTTCCATTGACTTACATTAAAAGTAAAATATGTTTTTGTTTTTTTCCTTCTCCTGTAAAGTTATCGTTTTGGATATATATATATATATATATATATATATATATATATATATATATATATATATATATATATATATATATATACTTTTAATGTAATTAATGTTAATGAAACCAGAAGAGCAACAGGGGTTTTCATATATATATGTATATATATATGTGTGTGTGTGTGTGTGTGTGTGTGTGTGTGTGTGTGTGTGTGTTAGTACAAGGTCCCATGTATAATTATATTCTGATGTTGTGTCCTAAATTAAAATATCTATATGTAAGAATTTTCTGAGCCTAATCCTGTTCCGAATCTTAACCTCAGGAGACAAAAATAAATGTTTTTCTCTTTCAGTTTTTGTTTTTTGTAAAGAGCACTTTATGAAGTCAGTCAGTTTTACTACATTTTTGTACTGAAATTGTACAAAAACCAGAACCACAAACAAAATCTCTTGTTACAATTACAGAGTGAACAATCTTATTTGTTTGTTCCTTCAGCAAATTCTGATGCAGTATCAGCTGAGTGACGAGCTGCCCTGCGCGCCGCCGTTCCGCCTCTTCCCCACGGTGGAGAAAGATTATGGGAGCAGGTACGCTGACTGTGATCTGCTGCACACTCAGAAATCATCACTGATGGAGAAGCTTCTGAGAAAAATAGCATAACGTTCACTGTCTATTCCTGTAGGTTATTAATCTTCCTCAAACTGCGCTGTGACTTGCCCCCTAAAAGGTATAATACACTGCACTGTATGTATTTATTATGCAAATTCAGCTTGAGATAAGCCATACGGCTTAAAGTATGTGGGCATGAGAGTTGCCATGATGGGCTTTGTATGTTTAATTAATTTTTTTCTTACTGAAAGAGTTCTTTCATTTAATTCAGTTCATCTAATTAAATTTTCTGTTTTTGCAGCACCGCCCTAAATGTTTCTGTTACTGTGCCTGTCCCAAAGGGATCTTTAAGGTACGAAGAAAACGAAAACTCACAATTATAACACTTCCATATCACCATATCCATCACTTTGCTAAAAAGATGACACACTTACCACACTGAATTTGCTTGATTCAAATGTACATCATTTCTGCATAGATGAAATATGTTACTTAAGTGCAATTTTGTCTTTTGGTTTACTTGATTTTGGCTGTAATTGAATTGATATGTGTTATATTCATGTGGAAATTATTCGAATGACATAAATTTAGCCTTTTTTTTTTATATCTTGTCCCCATATTCGTCATCAGTACTTTTATGAAAACAGAAAACTCCCTATTAAAGCATTTCTGTACCACCATAAAAAGAGAAACATCTCTATTATAACATCATTGTATCTTCATATGCTTTCTCTGTTCAGTCTGTCTCAGGAGCTGAGCAGTCCTGACCAGACGGCGGAGCTGCAGCTTAAAAATAAGGCCATTCTGTGGTCAATCCCACGATTCCCTGGGGGCGCTCAGCTGTCTGCTCTGTTTAAGGTAACACTGAATACAGTCAATGTAGGGTTTGCTCTGGGCAACTTAACTGGTAATCTGTAAAAATACCTCATAAATGTATATGATAATACTTACATAACCCACCTTTAATTCATATGAAACGTAGGTGACACCTGGTAGTGTATGATAATAATGGTATTATTCAGTAACTACTTCAATTTACTATGAATTATATTTATATATTATATACTATGAATTTAGTAACTACTTTGATGTGTTTTATAAACTATGAAAATTTCAACATTTACTATAAATTATTCAGTATCTATTATGAATTATTCAGTATCTATTATGAATTATTTAGTACCTGCTATGAATTATTCAGTATCTACTATAAATTATTCAGTATCTAGTATGAATTATTCAGTAACTACTATGAATTATTTAGTATCTACTATGAATTATTCAGTATCTACTTTGAATTATTCAGTATCTGCTATGATTTAGTATCTGCTATGAATTTTTTAGTATCTGCTATGAAGTGTTCTGTATCTATTGTAATTAATTCATTAACTAATATAAATGAATCATTGCGTACTTTGAGTTATTCAGTAACAGGTAAGAAACTATTGTGTAAGTTCTGTAGTTGTGAGAACGAGGAACTGAAATATGGAGCCTCATACAGACCCTTTAGGGTTTAGGGGGTTGGATGAGTAGAGTTAATATAGAATTAGTATCCAAAAAGGCATGTTTATAATTTAGATTCGAGGTCTAAAATGGACTGACCTTAAAATTAAAGCCATTGACTCTTTTTATAGGAATATATTGAGTCTGTGGGTTTTCTGTTCTTTTCTGATTGCAGGGAAACACATATTAGTACTGTCCATTCTAAATGACTGTATCTACAGGCAGAGATTAGGCTGAAAAAAGTGTGCATATTCTTGAAAACTGTTTAATTGGTATTGAACGCTGAAATGCACTCGGACATCCATAATGTTGACCCTGAATGCTGTTTGTTTCTATAGGTGGAGGTTCCAGGTCTTAGCTCCGCCTCTCTCCTGGAGGTGGGGCCGGTCAGTATGAGCTTTGAGCTGCCCAAACAGACCTGTACGGGACTCCAGATCCGCTTCCTCCGGCTCTCACCGACCCAGCCGGGGATGTCGCAGCGCTGGGTCCGCTACGTCACACACTCCGACTCCTACACCATCCGCATCTGACCCACACATCCTAGCTTATGACCACACACTGGACTTAGCAGGAACCCCATCGGACAAACTGATGCTTCTCACTGCTCGAAGGCGAAGAACGACTGGGACAGTATGTGTTGTAACAGTGTTTGTTTTTTTTGTGTTTCAGAGAGTATATGTATAAAGACTTTAAATTAAACTGGTTTATTGGACGATGAACAGTAATATTTTTTTTTTTTTCACTGACTTTGTCCAAGGCTTTGTGCTGGGTAGCACAAATAAGACCTAAGAATTAAAATAGCTAAAATGGACAATTTTATCAGTTTTTCAAAATTCATGCATAATCCAATTGTTCACAGCATGACACTATATGGTTCACTGTACAACAACTTAGCGACTCAACACAAATATAAGTAAGTTTTCTTTGGGGGACAATTTTGCCTCACAACGCCCTGCATGTATCCCTCCGCCATGAATGGATTTTAAGGCCAAAATCTTCTCAAAACTATCTAAAACAGTGTCTCAGTCATCAGGCAGTGAATTCATAACCATTTCATGTAGTAACTTTCTGTAAGGGGGATTTTAGAGCTGGACGTCTGGTTCCTATCGCTACTGAACTTTGTGTACATGGTTGGAATTCCCCTTTAGGTTTGCATGTCAGCATCTTCTAAGGTCCACACGGCTTGAAAACTGCCTACAAGAAATTGTGGATCTGCAGTCTTTCACGTGGTGAACTGGGCCTAATTTACAGTTGTTTTGAGAGCAGGATGGTGTTCCTTTTTCACTTCCATTTGGGACTGTAGATCTTTCAATGTCCACCAGGTGTAGTCTGCTCTTCTAGTAATGCAGGAACAGAGCTGGTGGTTTATGGCGCTCCCTAGTGACCCAAAACTTAACAAACAGTCCGTCTGCAATCTGTGGCCTCCTTTAAAAACATGACAGCCAGTAATCTTAACAAAAATGTTGTTTGGCTTGTTATCCTCTCAGCAGATTCGTGTTTTAGGGGTTTGTTTGCTTTGTACTTGCTTTCACGTTGATTTCTAAATACTTCCTAACGTCTAAACTTTGGAGAAATTTGCAAGCACAGCTTAATGGGACTGTTTACTAATGCTTAAAGGGGAATTCCACCCATTTTCCAAAAATTCAGTCCTTGAGATGTCATTCAGAGTGGTTTGGTGTGAAATGGTTCAGGTTTCTTTACAGTGATGGTGATAGGAACCAGGGGTCACCATGACTACAACACAAATATAGACATTTTATTTACTGTCCAAAACCACCAGTGAACCTACACGAGTCTTCTGAGTTTATATGGAATGTTGATGATGGTAAAATAGTCATAAATGTGGAAAAAAATATTGCAAAATATTTTGGGTGGGACGGTTTTGCTTCACAACACCCTGCATGTACCCCTCTGCCACGAATGGATTAAAATAAATTGATTAAAATACATCTAAGCCAAAACGTTATCACTAAAACAGTGTGTTAGTCATCATTTCATATAATGACTTTCTGTGAGGGAGCTTTTAGAGGGGGGCGTGTGGTTCCTATCACCACCACTGTAAAATCACTCCAAACCCTGCTGAACGACTTTCTTAACATCACAATCTTTTAATTATGTAGAATTTTTTGAAAAATGGGTGGAGTTTCCCTTGAAATGTGTAATCTTTTTAAGATTTGATTGTTAGAATCGTTGAAATATAGCTAAACAGAAAGGAAATCAACAGGTGGTTGAGTATGCAGCGGAGAGGCGGGGATATGCAAATAAGACACGCGTGATTGGACGCTCTGCGCAGGAGTGGGCGCGGTCGGCGCTGTGGTTGGTGTCAGTTTACGCCGCTTCTACAACTAAACTCACTCTGAAAGCTGAAGCATGGTGAGAGCTCTGCATCACTGAGCGGCTCCAAAACATAAACACCAACTTTTTTTTTCCAGAGAAGGTTTGAGGGAACCCAGCCATGCATAGCTGCTCTTAGTTTGGGTGAAAAGGCTGCGGAAATTCACTCGCTCTAGCTTCAGTTTTCGCCATGGCCGAGCAGCGGCAGCTGGTCGATTTCGACCCGGACTTCGAGCCTCTTTCCCGTCCGCGCTCTTGCACTTGGCCGCTGCCGAGGCCGGACCTCAGCGAGCCGGGCGGTTCGAGCACATCCTCCCCGGCGCCTTCGGTGAAGCAGGAGCCGGGCAATGTGGACTTTATCAGCAGCCTGAGCCTGCTGGAAGAGACGGAGGACTACCCGGAGGATGGGAAGGGGTTTGTGCCGTGCAGTGGCTTCCCGTGTCCGGAAGGCTGCGTCCACCAGCAGCCCCAGCAGCAGCAGCAGCAGCAGCAGAGCCCCAGGCTGGTTCAGCAGCAGCAACAGCAGCAGCAGCAGCAACAGGTGCCTCTTTCCGGGCAGAGGAAGAGCAGCTCTTCCCGTAGAAACGCCTGGGGCAACATGAGCTACGCGGATTTGATCACCAGGGCCATCGAAAGCTCCCCTGAGAAGCGCCTCACTCTGAGTCAGATCTACGAGTGGATGGTGAAGAGTGTGCCTTACTTCAGGGACAAGGGGGACAGCAACAGCTCCGCGGGATGGAAGGTACACATTAAAGAGGAACTCCACCAGTTTTCCAAAAGTTCCCCATAATTAAACGGTTAAGAGGTAAACAAAGTTCAGTCAGAGTGGTTTGGTGTGAAATGCTCCATTTTAGAGAAACCTGCAGAGTCAGAACTGTGCACAGTGGTGGTGATAGGAACCAGACGTCCACCTCTAAAAGCTCCCTCACAGAAAGTTACTACATGAAATGGATATGAATTCACTGCCTGATGTCTGAGACGCTGTTTTACGAGAAGATTTTGGCCTTAAAATCTGTTCATGGTGGAGGGATACGTAATATGCAGGGCGTTGTGAGGCAAAATAATCCCCAAAGAAAACTTGTTGTCTATTTTACCCATCATCAACATTCCATATAAACGCTCAGAAGACTCGTGTAGGTTCACCGGTGGTTTTGGATAGTCAACAAAATGTTTGTATTTGTGTCGTAGTCATGGCGACCCCTGGTTCCTATCACCACCACTGTAAAGAAATCTGAACCATTTCACACCAAACCACTCCGAATCACTCTGTTTACACCTCACACACTAAAGTATGGAGGAATTTTGAACAATTGGTGGGATTTATATTTAAAAGCTCACTCCAAAACAGTGCTTACCAATCCTGGTTTTATAAAAAGGATTTATAGTAATAATATAGTGTTAGTATGTAATAATAATGGTAATATAGTTTAGTGTTGGACAGTGTTATAAAGCATTATAGATTATTTTGTAATACCAGAAGGATACTGGAATCACTTTAATTATTTGTTAGTTTACAGTAGGGAAAAACACAAGTAATATAGATTATATGGGTTTGTAATAGTACAGAACTTCCTATAGCATTCCTATAGGTATCTAAAAGTCAATTGGGACTGTTACTCTACAACACGGTACTACACAAGTATATATATTATACTTTATATATAGTATTTATAGATAATATTGCAGTACTAGAGGGATTTCTGTATGATTCCCGCCAGAGTTAATGAGGGGCACTCACTTTACTTTCACTTTAGTTTACCGTACTTTGGTTTACGCATTGTTTACTATAGGGGAGAACACCAGTAAAGCAGATTATGCAGATTAATAAAGCTACAGTGCACTCTGTATATTACACAAGTCATTTACATGATATACGAGGGTGGAAAGATGAATAATTTTTAAACTGAAATTGCAATTTAACAGGGTGCAGTTTTCAAACCACAAGAGCTTATTTTATTAAGTTAAAGAGCTTATTTTATTGAGTTTATTACAGCCTACATTACTAAAAATGCTGTTTTAAGAGGGGAGATTTAACCAAATAACTCGGAGCCTGTGAACTGCCTGTAGAAACGTTAGACCAATTAGATCTAACCAAACCCCCATGTGTTGTGACATCATAACCACAACTTCACACTCTCACACACTATATTCAGGGGTCAAGCTTCAAGCCGGAAAATACGGTGTATATGGACATTCTGGTCAAAAAAATAGGCCTGAACATTAATTTATAGAAAATAATCACAGTTCAAATTGCAGTTGCAGAAAATTAGTCAGAAAAATCACAATTAGATTTCTGTAGGATGCCTTCAGGAATCAGTTGGGACATTTTGGTTCACTTTACACATGTAATATAAATTATGTAGGCTCCTATAAGAATTTATGTGCAATTTCTATAGGAATATTAAAGTAAACTGGGACAATTACTATACATTACTATAGAGCACAATGCAAGAATCATGCATTATGTAATAATACGTTTCTATATGTTTCCATTTGGGGAAAAAAAATAAATTTATGGGAGTTAAGTAAAAGTACTATAGATTATATGGGTTATTGCTACAGGACTTTATACAGGATTCCCATAGGAATCTTAGAGTAAATTGGAGCAGCTAGTGTAGTTTGTTGTAGGGAACAATTCAAGTGTTATCAATTATATACGACAGGAATTTCTATGCAATTCCTATAGGAATCTTAAAATTTCCCTTGAAATGTCCCTTAACTTTCGTCCTATTTGGCTTAAGTGATGTGATTTGCTTTGTGCTCATGACTGTGTTCAAACATTATTGATTAGCTGCATCAAGTGTGTTGCATTTGGGTCCAAACCTGCAAGAAGGTCAGTAGATGTCCAGGACGTGGGTTGGTGACCACTAATGTAGTGGATAAAGTCCGTCAACCGTACCTGAAAAACAGGGCACTGGCTGAGCGGCTGTGCCCTTATTGCACATTGATGGTCAGCAGTGGCTTTAGTTATTAATATTGAAAGAGATAAGATATATATCATAGGCCAAGTTACAAGTGTAGCTGTTAAGAGATTATGAGCTGTAATAACAATGAGAGATTACAGCCTTGTGTATATTGTCTAACATGTCCATGCAATGAGTGAAACTCCTATAACAAAGAGAGATTATAAGATGTAATATACTTTCGCTATATAACAAGTGAGATAATGAGATTATAAAATATCATTTTTCTTTGTGTAATAACCGTGAGAGATTATAACCTGCAATGTTATGTTAGCTGCGTGTTATGAGCTGTAACATACATGTAATAATGAGCGTAACTGTTAGAGTAACGCAATGTAGGATTATAAGATATGCTGTCACTGCGTGCAATAATAAGTAAGATATGAAAATGTTATGAGATGTAATTGAGCTACATGTAATAACAATGAGAGATTATAATCACTAATTTAATTTACCTTTGTGTAATTAGCTATAATGTCAAACAAGTATAACTTTGTGAAAGAATATTAGAGATTATAACTATTATATACATAATAAGTGAGATAATGAGATTCTAACATCATGTACATGTAATAACAATGAGAGATCATAACCTGTAAGGTAATTTAGCTACATACTATAAGCTGTAATGTACATGTAATAACAACTGAAAGACAATGTGAGATTGTAAGATATAATGCACTTTAGCTATGTGTAGTAACAAATGAGATCATGAGAAATTATAAAACATAATTTAGCTACATGTAATAACAATGAGGGATTATAACCTATAATATAATTTAGCTCTATGCTATAAGCTGTACTGTACATGTAATAACAACTGAAAGACAATGTTGAGATTATAAGATATAATACACTTCAGCTATGTGTAGTAACAAGTGAGATAACGAGAGATTATAAAACATAATTTAGCTACATGTAATGACAATGAGAGATTATAACCTCTAATGTAATTTGTATGCAATGAGATACAGTGTACGAGAGATTATAACCCTTAATGGCATTTAGCTGTGTGCAGTGAGCTATAATATGCATATAATACCAAATGTAGCTGTGGTGCAACAGAATGAGAGAATATTAGATATAGTATAATTTAGCTGCATATAGTAACAAATGAGAGATTATAAGGTAGGATTATGATGCAGTAATTAGAGATTATAACCTCTATAATGTAATTCATCCGTGTGCAGTGAGCTGTAATGGACGTGTAATAAGAAGTGTGACTGTAGAGAGAGGAGGACAGGGACAGATTATAATCTATAATGTGATTTAGCAACGTGTGTAATAATAGTAATGCGTGCAGCTGTTGGTAAAAGGTTGCTGGCCTGTATTTTGAGAAGTGCTTGTGAAGTCCCCCAGCGACGCGTGGTTTGGTTTGGGATTTCTGGGACGACAGTTGGGGGACTGCACACGCACACCCAAGACTCCCCCCCCAGTGTTTTGCAGCACGCCGGTCAGTTTCACAGCGTGTGGTCAGCGATCAGTGCGGTTATTAGGTTTGACAGAGAAGTCGTAGCAGGTTTAAAGGGAGATTTATCTGCAGACACGTTTTAGCAGCGAACAACTTCCTCGCTGTACGTCTGCAAACGGAAGAGTGAGGTTAGCTGAGGTTACGTGAAAATGTCCCATGCTCGCAGTAGGTACAAAGATGTTTCAGTATGAGTAATCCAGGAGAGGAAGGTGAGATACGCAGAGGTAGAGTGAGCGTGTGTGTGTGTGTGTGTGTGTGTGTGTGTGTGTGTGTAAGATTAGAGTTTCAGAAGGTGAGTCATTTTTAGCAACCTACTTTTAAAATGTTTGACTTTGCATGTAGACTTTGTGTTCATGTGCTGCAAAATCTTTCACTCTAATTACTGTATTTACATCAGACCCCTTACCTTACATTTTCAAAACAGTATGAAACAATATAAATATAAATGCAGTATTAATATACAGCACTATGCAAAACCAGAGAGCACAAATTTACAGTCAAAACAACGATTAAATACAAGTAAATCATTTTTCAGTGTCTGGAAAAAGCAAAAAACATATTAGCAGGAATTACACAGAAGCTTCGTAATGTTCTTTGTTTTATTATTCTTTATTTATGCTTTTTTTGGTACCATTTTCACAAGTCGCAGTTTTTGAGTTAGAACCATGAAACTTTGATCGTACTGTACTAAAACTGTGCGTTTCGGATTGATTGCATGTAAAAAAAAGATATCTGTCACTTACAAGTGCATAAATATACACACATATTAGCAGCCGCCTGGGATTCGATAGCAACGGCCTAGCAGCACCTTAGAAACCTCCTGGATATCACAGCAGCAGCCTAGCAACAACTTAGCAACCACATAGGAAACCATAACAACAACCCAGAACACCTTAGCAATCAAATAAAAAATCATAGCCACGGCCAAGCAACACCCCACAGCGATTGCATAGCAATGGCCTAGCAGCATCTTAGCAACGCCTATTATCATAGCAACAGCCTGGAAACACCTTAGTAACCACCTAAGAAACAATAGCAACAGCCAAGCAACACCTTAACAACCACAGGGATTCCATAGCCACGGCCTAGCAGCACCTTAGCAACCCCCTGGATATCATAGCAGCAGCCTAGCAACACTTTAACAACCACAGGGAATCCATAGCCTAACAACACCTTAAACCACCTCTAGTTATCATAGCAGTAGCCTAGCAACACCTTGGCAACCATGTAAGAAACCATTGCAACAGCCAAGCAACACCTTAACAACCACCTGGGGTTCCATAGCAACAGCTTAGCAACACCTTAGCA